TAAGAGAGTAGGTAGGTACTTGTAAATCGTTGTTTAAATTCTATCACCACGTGAAGTAATTTTTAGCAACTTTTCAGGAGATTGGACGAAACGACGCGTCTTTAGATTCTTTATAGCAAATGGCATTAAAATGTCAAAACCGCCAAAAAATTACTTACGTGGTGATAGAACTTATTCGACGAAATGTAGGTACACCCAGTTGAAGAGAGTTTTCAAAAAAGACGTTGTGAAGTCTTTAATCTTTGAGGACCGACGACGTCATAAAGCAGCGTTAGCAGGAAGGCGCTGGATGCAGGCCGCTACCAACCGCGCGATATGGAAGTTATTGGGGGATGCCTATGTTCAGCAGTGGACATCCTGTGGCTGAAATGATGATGATGAACTCTTTAATAAATATTAAGTAGAAAACACGAAAACTAATTAAGTCAATTCCATAAATGAAACTTAGAGAATTATTAAAGGTTGTGTTTGATTTAGGCATAGGTATACCTACCTACATTTAATACGAAACTTAAGGCTGGGTTGCACCGTCTCACTTTAACTTTGACAAACGTCAAAAATCTGTGAAAATCCATAACAAAAACCACCGGTTACCGTACGGTCAAAGTTAGGTGGTGCAACTCAGCCTAAGAGGGTGCCAGTTTGGGACTAGGTGACGCAATTAAATGCCCAAGAAGACTTATTCCTTCATTTGTCATTCCAGTCGAACGTGAAATTTAACCTCGACGTTGATACGCCTGAGATAGCGCAGCGAGGAGGCCCACCATCGGCCAGCGTCGACCAGGGCGAAGAACTGTGCGACCTGGATGTGCGAGTAAGTTTAACATAATATTACTCGTTATTTAAGTTTAAGTAGGTGAAGGAGATGGAGAGAGGGATTGAGCATTATGGGACGTGAAAAAATAAAACCTTCCATGTTAAAGAAAACTCGAGAGCCGGATTTAGAATAGTGAAGGCAGTGTCATGTCGTGAATGTATCTTTAGAGTAATTGTCAGAATACCATTCATTACCTTACACCATAAAAAAATCATAAAGTATTCATAATGAATTATTCATCCTATATTTTTTACTTCAAAAATTACTTACTCACGTACGTGTTTGCACGTTTTCCAGATACTATATCCAGATAAAGTCCAGACAAAAACCGGTAAATGGCTTTACGCGGTCAATACCAAGCAGAAGAAAGTGCAAGGGTTTAGGGGGACTATGTGCAAGTAAGTTTCAAATACCTACCTACTTTAGGAGCTCACATGCTGGGTATCTAGTTACTTCTTACCCCGTTTTCCAAAGTTTCTGATTACTTAATCAGTCCCTCTCACTCAGAGTATGTATAATAAATGAGAGATAGAAACAGTTTGGAGCAATAAACTATACAAAACAATATTTTATCTAATTTATCAATAATTTGTACCGCCTACTCTATTCTCAGTTTGGCCCTAAACTTGACTGGAGGAGAATGCCTAATGGCATTAATTTCGCCTTATGTACCGTGATTTATGTGCATAAAATTGTATACTATAAATAAATATTATTTTCAGGTCCCCTTCAAGACCATGTAAGGACATAGTGTTCGTCGCCGGCGACCACGTCACCACCTGCGAACAGAAAAGGATGGACAGGTTTATATGGGTGGTCAACGAAAACGGAAAACTGGAAGAAATGCCCGTTCCCATGCCGACCTGCTGTACTTGTGTGATAAGGAAAAATACGAAAGTGACAGACCCTTCATGAACATTCCTGAATAGTAGAATTACAATCACAATATACTCTAGTACCTAAAGTATTAAATTATCAGATAGGTACTGATCAGATTTGAATTACTTGTTTCAAAGAGACATAAGTAATAGGTATGTTTTTTAATTGTTTAGAAAACATAATTTTAGTTAATTTGTGTCTTTTTTACCTTTTCACTACGAGTATTATATTCTACATATTGATATAGGTCAATAATTTTACCACTTGGATGCTTAACGAAGAAATCGTTGTCGGTATAATAATTATGTTCATAAATAAATAACATAATAAATGTTAATGTTTGAGGACAGTATTGAATTTTTTAAGTCTAATGTTATGGATTTGAGTAGGTAGATAAAGTTGTACTGACTGTAGGTACTAGGTATAAAGTTATAAGTAGCTACCTACTTGGTTTATTATCCAATCAAAAATTTTAACAACAGTTACACCAATATATTATTATGTTTTAAACTGTTTCTGTAAATAGTAGGACATAAATTGTCTTTATAAAAATACTGTTCAAGATAATTTGTATTTAAAAATAACAATAAGTAGGTTTAAATAAGTTTTATTAATGTTAATCCAATTGAGAATGTTACTCGGTATGCAAAATCACTTGAAACCTATGTTACAGTTAGGCTTTTACATTTACAAATACATTAGTTTTTATTTCATTCAAAAATACCCAGTAGTTATGATTTGATAGGCATTCAAAGTTCGCATAAATATTGAGTCCCGCCGACGGGCACGTGACCCCGCGTGACGTACATTCACAGTGTCCGCTCACTAGAAAACGGATATAAACACACTTAAATACATTTTTTTTGTAAATACAAACTTATTATACANCAGACCCATCACAGAAATTAAAATTGAACCAAACCCAAACTTGATGCGATTGTGTCGTTTTATTGCGAATTACCTTCCAGCTCCATCATTAGACCCTGATTACTATATAGAATTAAAGTACTCGTCAATACAAAACGAACGAACCCAAACTCGATGGATTTAAGTCGTTTTATTATAGAGTTCCTATGGCCACCTTCCAGCTCCATCATCAGATCAGCTCCATGTCATCATAATATTGCATGGTCATCCAAATCACATGTCGCCCATTTGCGACGACACTGTGACATCTCGACATATACGATTTTTTGTTTTACCGAAATTCTGAACCGCGATCTTGCGTTCTTTTATCTCCAAAACAGGGTATTTGTTACTCCAAAAACATCAATACTATGAGAGAAAGACACCAAATATTACGTTATAGCGCTGGCTCGTTCGGCGATCTATTTGGCTTCGACACTGTGACAGTTCAGTTGCCACCTGCGCTTTGCGATGTGAGGTGCTCTTCGTTTTTAAGAAAAACGTGACATCTAGAGGATACCGCGGTATTGATGACAAAGGTAAGTTTTTAAAATATTTTTATTTTATTCGACAATGTGGCACGTCATACTTATCACAGTGTTCCTCTAAAGCAAAAAGCAAAGTAAAAGAGAAATTATTTATATGTCACGTTATTCTTGTAAGAAAATCGAAGTATCATTGGGACATCTTAACTAGTAACGTTGTAGATGATGAAAATTTTTCCTTTAGTGAAAATATGTTGTAGGTCATTTGTTGATGTTCCGTTATTAATTTCATCAATTTAGACGCAAAGTTATGTCTTACTATAAATATTTAAATATATTAATAGTTAATCTTTAAACGTTTCATACACAATTAGGTAATCCTAACCTTCTTTTAAGACTTATGGTCATTCAAAAGTTAAAAAGTCGATTTCTGTAAAACCACTGTTTTTGATATATCACAGTGTCGTCGCAAATGGACGTGTGTTTGCGAAATTTCAGCTTAATCGATTGCCTGGAAGTGGGTCTTAATTATTATTCAGCTTGCAAGATTCCACCCATACAAAATTAATATGAGCCAGTCACTGTAATATGACGTCACGCGCATAAAATGGCGAACAGGCCGCCGCCTGCACTTTTAAAATTCAATATCTTGGAAACTAATTGACGTATCGAAATAATTCTTTCACGTGTATTTTTTATTTTTAACTGAGAATACAGAAAGCTAAAAAACAAAATTAGTGAACATTCTTCATTGTGACATAAAATTATGTATAGCCTGACCAGGAACATAAAAACCCTCGCCATGTTGCGGAAAACTAATGGTACTAATTTCTTTTAATGGCAACAGTAACTGAAAACTTCATTGACATGTCACCTTGCATGTCAGTCTATTGCTGTCAAAGTGTAAACAAACTTTATTTTAAATGTGCGCAATGGGTTTTATGAATTAAATTGCTAAAATATTTTTATAGTCGTGAAAGAAAAGTGGTTCACAATGTGTTAAAGTATTTGTCGAAGAGAAATACTAAGGGTTTGGACAATATTTTCATTGAATAATGTTTCCGACAAAGGTTGTCAAATTGACTGACATGTTTATCGTATAGTACAGTCCACTATGAAAATTAGCTGTGGTTTGTTTCAACTACCTATTTTAAAAAAAATTGTCACTTTCTAAGTGTTGAATTTTATGGGATTGGGAAAGAAGTAGGTACCTACCGAGTTTGAAGCGTTCATGAGCAGACATTGCAGTTGAATATTCAAGTTCTGAATTTGATTATTGATGAATAATAAAATAAATTCTACAAGCTCGATTGATGGTTTCATTTAATTTATTTAAAGCTGGTTACCTATAATAATATTTTTTCGTTAATTTATGAAAATATCAAATTAGCCCGTAATCCTGAATCCTGATACATAAAGTTAGCCTATTAATTTAACACAGGTATGACTGTACTCAGTGTTGCACTATCAAATGCAATTGACGCGCCACTATGCCAGGGTTTTTATGTTCCTGGTCAGGCTATAAGTAAATAATAATAATGATTATTTACCTGAGTGCTTATGTTTTATTTTATTAAGTGAAATTAGAATAAAAAGGCTGGGTTAAAACACCATCAACACGTCAAAAATCTTTCAAACTCTATAAAAAAACACCGGTTAAGGTTAAAGTCGCGATTAAATTATGGGTGCAACTCAGCTTATTAAGTTCTTAACTGGGTCCAATTCTGATTGTAATTTTGAACTAAAAAAATTCATTATCTTTCAGTCAACTAAAGAAAATTTAATAGGAAATCCCAAACTTAAAATTACTGTAATATTTAAACAGACAAGTTTTTTATAATTCAATTTTTAGTCAGAAATAACTTGCAGAATCAACTCCGGAAACGAAACGCAAATGTCAAAATTGACATAAATAAATTGACAGCTGTCTTCAAGTCGGTGCAAAAACAGAACGCATTCATTTGCCAAAATATTTTGAAAAAATGCTCAAAAACTTATCCAAAAATACGGTATTGGCTTTGTGTATAACTGTTATTAGACCGTATTTCGCCCTAGGATACGCCAACATGTCGTCTGGATCTGGGAGTATCGACGCAGGTAAGTTAAATTGTCAAAGGAATATTCTACAATTCTACATTCACATTTGCCGAATGTTATTGTGCTTACCGCGTTAATACTCCCTAAAATTCTATTATTCTAACCTACTCACTTAACTTCTGTGCTATTTGACATTTATTGTGCCACATTAAATTTGTATTTTGAAATTATTACTTACCAGACTTTGAGACAAAACATTCAATTCTCATGTAAAGACAAAAGTAGCCTGTATATTATTCTGTGCCCTAACCATATAATTTTGTAACAATATAGCGTTTTCTACAACTACAGAAGATACTACAATGCTTAGATTGATATACTAAGTAGGTACCGTTGTAATTGGAACTCAAAATAAGTATTTTCATGTTTCAGATAAATATTCCGTAGCTTATGTGACGGTACCAAACACAGAAGTTGGAAAGACTATAGGCCACGGATTGGTGAAGAACAAATTGGCTGCCTGTGTGAACATCATACCACAAGTCACTTCTATTTACGAGTGGAAAGATGAGATCAATGAAGATAGTGAGGTAGTATCTCAAATAAATCACCATCCTAATGCAAGTGCCCTTAAAAGTCATGAGTGCTGGAATGACCTATCTAAATAGTCAAATCAAACTTTTAATTTTCTGAAAGATATTCTTTGCCATTATTCAAGTTACTATAAAAACATAATTTAATAATTTTACTATCTAAAGCTGGGTTGCCCCATGTTACTTTAACTTTAACAAACATCAAAAATATTATGTCAATCTCTATTCAAAAAACATTGGTTATTGACAACAGGTTAGGTGGTGCAACTCGGCCTTAATTATTGCAAAAATTATGGTCTCATATTCTGTACACTGTACTTAAATTACATTTCAAAGAGTCATAGGTTCTGTTCTCATGAAATAAATTGCAACTTCAGCTTAAAATTATGAAATTCTCTAATCTATTTCTCTTTCTCCCCAGGCATTGCTGATGATCAAAACAAGGACCACTCAAATGGACAAACTCACAGATTTCGTACGAGCCAATCATCCTTATGAAGTATGTGAAGTGATCTCATTGCCCATTAAGAATGGAAACCCACCATATTTGAAGTGGATCGGGGACTCTGTGCCAGAAAATTAAATTAAGACTATTTTATTTAGTGCTAAGTGTTGCTTTTGATTATAAAATGTTATTTATTACTATTACATTAAGTACATAATGTGCATTTATTATGTATGACGTGTCCTCAAAAAACTACGTGTAATATTACATACTCAAAATACACATCAGTTTTAGTAAATAAAATTATTTTAAAACACATTTTGTCTCAAATGATTCTAGCTAGACTAAGTCATAAATGTGTAAAAAAACTCAGTCTTACTTTTATTTTTTTTACAATACATAATTTCCATTAAGTAGTTTTACAATTTGATCTTTGAATGCCAGAATCGCCCCCTTTTGTCTGATTAGTAGCTTTTGTTGTACACTTCTACTGCAAACTTATAGGTACATCTCTGTTTCAACCAAAAGCCATCCTCTGCTGGAGAAAGGTTTCCCCAATCACGACTATGCAGTCTATTAAACATTTAAATCGACACCATCACGCACTTGCTCACTGTAAGTACTGCATTAAGTAGAACTATCCAATGCCTATTAACGCCCGTATTCACAAACATGACTAGCCAGCCGGACTCACCGGCTTTTACCCGTGGTCCCCACAACATGTCCCCCTGGTGGGTCCACGGGTAATTTTTTTTACCCGTTGTCCCACCGTTCTGAACAGTGTTTGCCAGTGGGTCTACGGGTAATTTGTTTTAACCATGGTCCCACCGCACTAAGTGGCAAACATTGCATGAAACCTAGGTATCTATAATATTATAAAAAAATCTATAATTAATTATAGTAAATAATTATAGGTAGGTACGGCACCATAGATTTATAAGACTTATGCCCGTTTTCACCATCAATCCCTAATTTTTAAGTGACCCCTGTGTAAACAAAATTCTTGTTATTTATTACTATAGGGGTCACTCAAAAATTAGTGATTGATGGTGAAAACAGGCCTTACACACTTACAACCCACATGTGTGATGTGAAGATATTATAAAAAATGTTCTTGCAATTATTAATTTCGATGTATCCTTTATTCTCAAATAAATATGAACTTAGGAATTAAGTGCGGTGGGACCATGGTTAAAATACACTTGCGAGCAAAAGTATGGAATCACTTACATGAAGTTGTTGCCACGCGATCTTGTGAACTAACGAATTTGTTAGTAACAAAAAAAGTGGCACCATTTTAAAGATTAAACTTTTAACTTTAAATTGATACCAAATTCATTGAAATCACACCAGTATTTAAAAAGATATCCCGGTTAATGTGAAGAAGTAAGGAAAAAGACATGTATCAACTGTTTGATACGTCGCGAGTTGCGGCCTATTTACCCCCTATAAAAGCACGTGTTTTCGGATTTTTGCTTTCACACGTTGATCCTTACACATCTCCGCTTCTTTTGCCATTTTACCTAGGATTCTACACCTTCAGAAGCAGCACAAATCGTTGCACTATTGCAAGAAGGGCTCAGCCAGAGGGCTGTCGCACGTCAGCTCCACATAAGCCAGTCTTGGGTTTCTAAAGTTTTAAGACGCTTTCAGGAGGCTGGTGGCTTTATCCCGAGACCAAGTTCTGAACAGCGCTGGTGCACATCGCAGAAGGATGACCGTTTTTTTCATGTCAAACTCTCTATGAAATCGTTATTTGACTGATATCGACGTCCAGCAAGAGCTCAGAAATGTTCGTTGGATAGCTGTTAGCGAGTGGACAGTTCGTCTAAGATATGAGCAATAGAATTTGACTCCAAAAAGGTCTGCCACAGGCTCGAAGCTGACGGCAAGTCACCGAGTAGCACGCTTTCAATTAGCTCGCACTTATTTTGATGGAAGGGCGAGTAATGGAGGCGAGTTTTGTTCTCCGATGAATGCAGACTGTGTTTGCAGTGCAGCAGACGAAGAGGTCGGGTCTATAGGCGGCCTGGGGAGAGATTTGTGCAGTGCTGGTTCGCTGAAACAGTGGCTTATAGGGGTGGCTTGCTCGACTTCCCATCGAGATGTGTACGAGCAAATTGAAAGCGTGCTTATCGGTGACCTGCCGTCAGTTTCGAGCCCGTGGCAGGTCTTTTTGGAGTCAAATTCTATTGCTTATATCTTAGACGAACTGCCCACTTGCTAACAGCTATCCTACGAACATTTCTGAGCTCTTGCTGGACGTCGATACCAGTTAAATGACGATTTTATAGAGAGGTTGACATGAAAAAACGGTCATCCCTCTGCGATGTGCACCAGCGCTGTTCAGAACTTGGTCTCGGGATAAAGCCACCAGTCTCCCGAAAGCGTCTTAAAACTTTCGAAACCCAGGACTGGCTTATGTGGCGCTGACGTGCGACAGCCCGCTGGCTGAGCTCTTCTTGCAATAGTGCAACGATTTGTGCTGCATCTGAAGGTGTAGAATCCCAGGTAAAGTGTCAAAAGAAGCGGAGATGTGTAAGGATCAACGTGTGAAAGCAAAAAATCCGAAAACACGTGCTTTTATAGGGGGTAAATAGGCCGCAACTCGCGACGTATCAAACAGTTGATACATGTCTTTTTCCTTACTTGTTCACATTAACCGGGATATCTTTTTAAATACTGGTGTGATTTCAATGAATTTGGTATCAATTTAAAGTTAAAAGTTTAATCTTTAAAATGGTGCCACTTTTTTGTTACTAACAAATTCGTTAGTACACAAGATCGCGTGGAAACAACTTCATGTAAGTGATTCCATACTTTTGCTCGCGAGTGTATATTACCCGTAGACCCACTGGCAAACACTGTTCAGAACGGTGGGACAACGGGTAAAAAAAATTACCCGTGGACCCACCAGGGGGACATGTTGGGGGGACCACGGGTAAAAGCCGTTAACTCACAGTGCGCGTGGACGCACAGGGTGACACACGAGCCAATCACAGAGCTCTATTCAACGCTGTGCGTTCGATTTGCTGCTTCACTTAAGCAAGCATCGTTGGTGAATACGGACGTAAGTTTTGTAAACTAATAATGATCCTTTGTACATAAACTACGACTTTTTGCATCAATCCAAATCCGATTAAAAGTCGAAGCACACTTATCAACTCGGAAATGGATCGAAACCGTATCAATTCGAGACGATCAGTATTTTTTGTATGATGTTCCGTACTCCAACGCACCCTTATCCGCACCGCAACGTAAACGCATCGCTTCGCGGCGAAAGGCGATACATGATACCTTTCCGGGATAATAAGTATGCTATGACCTTTAGTATCGCTCGATACAATCGTTTATTAAATTCTCACTAACAGCGATGCAATCACGCGGCTGTCAAACGCGCGTTTGTATCGCTGCAAAAAGTTGCAGTCTAGTAGAGCTATAATGCCCATTATTTGCCCATTTATTAACAATTCCCAAAACTGGTGTTCATTTAAATTACATTAGTTAACAAAAATAAAAGATAATATTTTGACGTGGTCATCACTTGAAGAATTCAGTCGAATTCGGTCGAATCTTCTCGTAGGTAAATCTATTAATAGAAATATAAAATTTATAAAACTATGTATATCAACAGCGCTCATGTAGTATAATCCATTAAACGTTAATTTCGATTAAACCGTGATATTTTCAAAGACAAACGAGTCTCTACGAGTGTTACTTGCATAGAAGAATCCTATAGGGGTTAGATGCTACGAAATTCGTAGTCACTTCCCGTAGTCGTCGTAGCGGATATTTGGTAGCAATTCGAAGCAAATTCGCTTCGCCGAAAAAAAGATAACTGCAAGTTTGTTTTTAAACAACCACTAAAATATTAGTATAGTTGTATGACTAAAACGTATGATGTTTAGTTAGTAACCTTTTAATCTAACGACCAATAAGTCATGAATTTTTATTGTACTAAACACTGATTCAAATAAAACTTAATATCTCCCTTTTGCTCGTAGTCATAAACAACAACATAGAAGATTTGCGTCATCATATTATAATGAACGTACCACACGTCCTTGACTCTAGAAACTCATATGCCTATCTACAATGGCTACATACATGTATGTATATTTATTTGAGTACATTCCGATAGCGCCATCTAGATTGCGAATTACTTTTCTTCAGGGTATTTTTTATACAATTACTCGATTCATGTTTTTATCTGATATTTTCTTTGAATGTACTCGTAACAGCAAATAAATTTGTTTACCCATTTTCCACATAAACGGTAAATACGACAAAGTTTAATAAAAAAGGGAAAAAAAAAGAAAGGATCACTTCGTAAGTCGGTCGCGCCGCCAGTTCGCATCCCCATTCCGTCGGCCAATCGTAGCGCGCGTAGCGACTACGAGTTTCGTAGCGACGACGCAGTCAGGTCGGCGTAGCGCTACGAACGGCGCGCTGAAGCTTCGACCTCCCGCGCGTCCACCGCCATCCCAGGATAGAGGAGCAAAGAAGTAATGGCTGTACGAGTGGTAGTCGACAGAAGATATGTTTCCTTGGCTCGGTGACGGGCAGCGTTGCCAGTTTTTTTTTTTCGCCAAGTCGGGACTTTGGTACTTTTTGAGTGAAAATAGCGGGATTCTTCCGTCAGAAGCGGGACATAGTAAAAAAACGTATAATAATCAAAGGTTTTCAAATATTTATCTTTTTATTTGACTTAAAATTACGTTTACGTGACAGTAGATAGCAAAAGTAGCTATAGAAAATGTATTTTAACAATAAAAATAATATTTTAAATCAGATTTAGTACGTACGCCACGTACGGTCGAGTTCTCTCCGAAAAGCGGGACCGAGCCTGTCCCGCGCGGGACATTTAAATTTGATTTAAAAATCGGGACGTCCCGCCAAAATCGGGACGTCTGGCAACGCTGGACGGGCCAGCCTCAGCGTAGAAGAGAAGAGAAGCTAGCATGAGCCGCACGGGTCGGTAGTGCGGCGGCGGCACGCGTGCGCGGATCGATCCGGCGGCATCGACCGCGCGGGGCGCGGCGGGACCAGCGAGCTCAGTCGCGCGCGGACCGGCGTGCGAGCGCCCGCGCCTTCGAAGTGCATGGCGCGCCTGACTGGATGCCTCGCGCCTTCGGGGAATGGCTTCGTCCGAGGAAGAGGCGACTACCGCGTCGATCCCTGAAGATGACTGCCTCAGTGTCCGAAAATGGTGGTGCTTCCTCCTGTCGTCGATCTTCACTTTCCTCGCGGGCCTGCTGGTGGTGCTGGTATGGCGCGCGTGCGCGTTCGTCTGCTGCCGCAAGGAGCCGGAGCTCGCGCCGAACGATCCCAAGCAGAAGGAGCAGAAGGCGGCGCGGCAGGGCAAACAGGAGTTCGAGGGCACCTTCATGACCGAGGCCAAGGACTGGGCCGGCGAACTCATCTCCGGTCAAACCACCACCGGACGAATACTGGTGAGTACCTCCACCTATTTTGGTCTTTGGTTATCACAAACCCCTGTAAAACCCAATAGTTCTAGTTAGTTGGTTAGCGGTAGCATCAGTTCGGTCACGTAAACACCGCCCTATCCACATGATTAGAATCAAACCTTGTTGCACGAACCTACCCTGTAGTGAGATAAATAGAAACGATCAATTAACTGTTTCAATTAAAAGATAGATGAGGGTATCCACCTCAGACCTATTACTCGATACCTACTTGATAACGTTCACGTAAAGAATCCATTTTAAGTGTAGCTGTCATCGAAATATCTACGATCAAGTAAAAAAATTCCATTAAAATAACCCTCTATCTCCATTGCGCAAGCCAAACATAAGGCGGAGTCTAAACGACTACCACGTATACAGTACTAAGAAAACACATTAAAAACGTTTCTACATTCCCGTCATGCCACGTTGAGAGCTAATTCATCATAGCAAACCCCTACAATACGATGTTCCTGTTCCACCTACGCTATAATGTAAACATAGCTTTTTTTGTGGGACATTTAATTTGCGAGCACTTTCGCAGATTTGACACTTGGGAAAGAGGGTAAGGCGGTGACGTCAGTCGTGGTCATCCACCCTGCCATGATATTTGGGCACATTCCTCTGACGTCACACAGTGCCCTGTGGTTCATCATAATTTTGTCTTCCATGATATTTCATGCGCTACCCTCATTCAATTGAGTATACTGCTGCATTCTATAATTCTAGATTAGAAGTATTCTAGAATACTTACTGACTTATGTACCTACCTAGTTGTAATAGATTCGATTATAAAAGAAAAATGTATACCTAGCCTGTACAAAAATAATTCGATTTTCTTAGTATTGACTAGTACGAATACCTTACTATCGGGTGTAATTATGTGGGTGGTAAGGTAATGCCTACCGCCTACAAATTATCCATACGAATTAATAATTAGAGACTAGATTTCATTGTAGTTCTGTATGTAATGTTTTTGTTGCTGTATCATTTTCAACCACAAAATGTAACCAAATGCAACTTAATTAGTGTCTGTCGTATATTTATAGGGATAAAAATAATGAGTTAAATTTTTATTTCGGGTTTAAACATACAATTAATTAATATTATCTTCATCGCTATTCTATAGAACCATGTTAATACATATTAAATCATATTTATTTATTTACATTTTATAGGCACAAAACATTCGTTATAAATCAATTCAACAATTGAGATTAGAACTTGCTCGTATTAATACGTTCGTGGCATCAAACCTAAGGCTGAGTTGCACCACCTTATTTCAACCGTGACTATAACTTATAAGCATCGGTGTTTTTGTATGGAGGTTGACAGACTTGACGTTTGTTAAAGTTAAAATAAGATGGTATAACCCAGCCTACAATATTACTTTAACCAAGTAGTCTATAGCGTTCCGATTGGACGTTGGATAGAGAATATAACCCTCCAAAGGCACTCGGAGGATTGGTTCATCCCAAGAACCAGGGGAATTGGAGAAATGAAGAAATAAAATGATGATGCTATTTTATCGCAGGGTTGTTGCTAGGCCGAGGTTTTCTGGAAACCAAAGGGCATTTAGGTAGTCGTTTGCTTAGTTGTGTCTGTTTTAATGTAACAATTATCATAATAAATAAGGGTCACGTACTTTAAATAGGTACCTACTATAGAATATAAACAGGTTATACTAATAAATAATATTTTACTGTTTGATTGTTATACTCGTAGAAAGAATGAAAAATCATATTACTGTAATATAACGCGACACACGACATACGGTATTATCTTGTCTCATTTTGGTGCTGAAAAGCATGTTAGAATCAAAATCTTCAAATGACAAAACGTGAATTCATAAAAAATACTTAACATCGCCTCAATTTATAACCAAAAAACAACAGAAGCATCTAGATTTTAAACAATTAACTCCAGTTTGTAAAGTTTCCTCTAAATAGCCGTATGAGTTTATTACATAACTGAAAGTATAAATATTATTTCTATTTAAAAAAGCTTTCTCAAGAATTCTTTCCTTCGTTATAACACCAAAGTCAAGTTCAACGAAAGATCGCATCGCATACATTACTCCTCATCAAACACGAACAGTCGCAGTCACCAAGCGCAGCTTGTGAAACCATTACGAAAACCCTAATCGAATCGACTTCAAACCAATACCAATCTAATCCTCACCACCAAAACAACGCGGCGGGATTACCGCCCGCCCATCCGATATCGCTCGCTGGGCGGCGCGGACCGTGACCCACTTCCGTATCGATGTACTACCCCACCCCTCGTTCAAGTACGTCCCCCTTGTTACCATTGATTTGCTACGTGAATGATAGCACGCTGCACCCTCAATTTTAATACCTACACCCATAACAACTAGGCTTAAGTTACAATGCGCTTGATATCCTGTAATTCTCATCTCGTAGAGGTCAGCTGAATACCTGGAAATGCTACTACAGTTTGTTAGTAAATAAACTCTCAATTTCAGTTACACATTCAATGTACAGATTTTACTATAAAGTTTACTATTTACTGCTCATTCAATGGGTTTTATACACTGTAAAAGCTTTACGATAATATTGATATTTATTTTACTGGATGCTTTTAAACCAAACAGTCAGTAGGACCGATGCCAACTATTCAACTAATTTAACTACGATTTTGTAAATCTGATCTTTTGTTTTAAAATATACCTACCTTATACCGTTGATTGTATTGTACAATTAAGAAAACTCCATAATAATGTTAATAATTCCGAACTTCTTCTCATCATCTACTTCTTCTTGTCATAGCAATTTAAATTTAAAAATAAAGTTTTAATGACACGATCAAACCAACATTTGTGTGTTAGTTAATAACAATACCTAAGTAGGTAGGTAAACATCTATATGAGTTTTATGTACTGTGCGTATAGTGTTCACAGTAAAACCAATAAAATTCAGCCAGCCAAATAATACACAACAGATAATACATAATAGTAGTATAAAATACATATACATAAATGACGCTTACATTATTGTCGAACCTAGACCACAATGTAATGTAACATATTTTATAGCCCTAGATATAAATCACCAGGCCAGGTGGCATCGTCAAAATTTTCCTTTAATCCAATTTTCCACGATATTTTCATGAATCACACAATTTTATCACCTACTATTATCATGGAAAGATCTAGCATTCCATAAAATCTGCACAAAGCAAACTGCATCCTAAATATATTACCTCAAGAACCTAATTCCCACGAATAACGTGGGTTCATAAAATTTATATGCATGGAATTGAATTACATTTTAACCAGAGTAGTGTCGCGGTGGAATGGGACCGTTTATTGCCCCATTTTGTCGGGTTCGCAGCTTAATGGGTGCACCAGTGCGATGGATTAGACGCCAATTGAATATACAGGGTGTAAAGAATATTTGTACCTATGCATTTTGTGTAAACGCTGCCGCTTGAAGCCAAGAAAAAAACATTGAAATAATTCAGTCAAATTTTATTTCAGTCAAGAGACGGGACTTAATTAGCGAGACATGTTAGATGTTATTATGGTTTGATCACAGCTCAATGAATTCACATACGTAACAAGAAAAAGCAAAAAGCTTATATTTCCATTTTTCATGAACACTAATGAAACCATGACGTTATTGTTTACCATTCCTGGCCAAAATCAATAGGTAATAGGAAAACGATGATAACATGTCAATATTATTGATTGAAAATTAATGTGCTAACTTTCTTTTGGCATGATTGAAAAATTAGGATATAATAATAAGATTTAAAGACATGTTCTAGACCATTTATCTAGCAAAATGTTTCATTATTATCTATTTTGATTGTAAACATGCAGGATCTTGTCTTGTCACTGCCTTCTTATTAATTTGTTAAAAGTATCCACTTTTAATAATATCAAAATGACCTAGCGACTGAGCGCAAATAAAAAGTTTTATTTATTAATAGACACCTAACAGGTAATTTCTGATTTAAAAAAGTGTAAGATCCTTATCTTTTTGTTAATGTTTTTGTGACAGATCTCGATATTATTACTATGTATACTCTTACGATCAAAGCAAACCACGGGTATTCGGAATAATCGAAAACCCGGATAATCTATTACAAAGTCAAATCAAACAATAATTAACTTTTTATCATAGTAGAAAGAGTTTTACATACATGTTTTAAACCATTGGGTTGGCCATTCGTTTTAACAATGAACCAAGACACCGTTGTACCGTGTGTTACGGTGGCCGTATTGATGGGTTGTTCTGGCCTGGCCCTAAATCGGTAATTAGAGCCGTCCGGAAGAATGAGCCCGGATAATCGGATATCCGGATAATCGATGTTCGGATTAGAATTTTGCAAATGTAAAGAATCCTCTCTAAGCATATTCTTCCTTACGTCTTCACGATATCAGCACAGATGCAGTTAAAACTTTAAGCCTCTGAAGTCTGAACTGCCGAATGGTATACATTTTTCACCAAGCACTATTGTCCTAGTTGGTGTACTGCGCACTTCCAACGGGTCCCAAGTGGTTCGCGTGCCGTTGAAAAGTTAATAATTACATTACATTTTCACGGTCTGTACACACAAAATGCCAGTGCCTTCTGCACTAGCTTTTGCTACCAATGAGCTTTTAAAAGCATCAGCGACTTTTGAAAAGCGGTGAGCTTTGGCGGAAAAAGTACTAAGTAAAGGTAAAAGCAAAAGCGCTTGACAACATTATGTGTTGTAGATATAATTAATTTAACAATAAGAAATAAAAAAAAAAAAAAACAAAAATCAAAATCAAAAATGTTTTATTCGTTAATAAACCAACTTTTACAAAAATTGTGGTGACACAGTACCTAGTAAGTAAAAGTATACCTGTATCAAGTAGTCACCGCCCATTCAGACAGTGCTAGTTTTGGGTAAGATTAAATATAGTAAGAATATAGACACACTAGCTTTCCGCCCGCGACTTCGCCCGCGTGGATTTTTGTCTGTCACAGAAAAAC